TACACACACACACACACGCTTGCACAGGCACGCACACACACACACACACACACACACACACACAGACGCACACACACATACATAAACATACACACATACACATACACACACGCACACGCTAAAATACACGCTCGCACAAGCATGGCACGTACGCACGCACGCACGGACGCAGGCGCGCGCACACTCACATACACACACACTAAAACACAATCACACATGTACACACTCACACATGCACACACACTCTAAAACACAAACACACAAACATAACACACATACATACAAACACGATCACAATAATTTATGTCTGCCTATTTGTTAACCTCTCTCTCTCTCTCTCTCTCTCTCTCTCTCTCTCTCTCTCTCTCTCTCTCTATCTCTCTCTTACACACTCACGCACACACAAACACACGCACACGCACACTCACACACACACACACACCCATGAACACATACATACATGTGCACACTAAGAAAAAATATTAACAAGCCTGGACAGACACATGCAGGAACGCAGTTACAATAGGGCTGTTCCTTATTTTCATTACAGATGTTTCATTCCTATCTAAACATGGACTTTCGAAATATTGAAAGAAATACAAATGTTTCAATATGTCATGACACGGTGGAATCAGGCGCTGGTCAGTTTTTGGGCATATGGAGTTATTTGTATCATCTTATAGCTTGTTCATTGGTCTTTCTTTCGAAGGAAAAAAATTCCATCCATCTTGAATAGAAGTCGAGATATTTGGGATTGAAGATGGTGGGGTAAAATTAGCAAGAAAATAGCCGACAAAGTATGCCGACTGCTATAGGTAGAGTCCATTGAAGGTGTAAATTAACACTCTGAGTCTTTAATCAACGTTTTCCAGTAAAGTCCACACAGAAATATATTGTTTTAATGAATTTAAAAGGTGTTAAGCCAAGAAACAAACATTTGATAAAAGTTACCAAACCGGCAGAAAAATGTCATTTTCTTCAAATTTTATTATTTTGACGAGCGCCCGATTTCACCCCGCTGCATCATATATTATTTAATCATGAACATTAGAAAAAATCTGGCCTCAACATCTTCCCCTTTCCCTAATAACGTCATTAACAGTTTACTCATAGTAAGCTCTATACTCAGAGCACCCGTCTTTCCAACTAACCTTCATAACTGTCGATGTCAAAGACCAGAATTATAGACCGAGGCTCATCGTGCTGGATCATTCTGATGACGTCACAGCCAGAACACTCAGAAACAAACTGGGCCAGACGTACTCTCGTTCCGTCCGTGGAAAAATCAGGCCCGTGGAAGGAGATTAAGTTCACAAATACTTCCTCTTCTGAGGTTGTTGCCAAGGACACGCTCAAAATGTTACTGGTCTCAGGGTCGTGGTTCATTTCCTTCAGAGCTGTTGCAACTGTATAGAAAGGTGGTAATTGAGAAAAGGTGTCCATACTATAACAAAAAGGATTAATGAAATGAAATGTAGGCCCGTCAATTAACAGGTATAAACAAAAAAACAGGCCATAACCTATTAACCCGACACGCTTAAGCTAAACCTTGAAATTTGGAAACTCGAAGTCAACGTCAAAGTGAAAATGTTTATTCTTTTCTAATCAGAATCCCTTAAGCTTCCAGGGGCGTGGACTCCTACTGGAAGTGCAGGTATTGGGGCTTTTTGTTGTAGTTGTTTTTTTTCGTTCGCTGTACTTAACAACAGGTAATAGGCTATAACTCCAGCTCAGTTCTTTGGGGGGAGGGGGGAGGGGGGGGGTTCTGAATGAGATAAACAGTGTCTGTGAAATAATGATAAGATCATTCTCCAATACATGCTAAAGACTTAATATATTTCGTTCTCGGGAGTGGAAGTCTGTTTTGTCGAGCGTCTCCGCCTGTCTGCTGGGACACTGTACCTCCCACATCCCGGAATGTCTGCTGTACACGTGCTCGAAACTGTCTGCCCCTTGTTTTACCTATTTTTTTTGTCGATGGGGGTGTCACACTTTTACAACATTTTACTTTTGCTTTCTTCATGACAGGGTCCATAACATGAATCTACATATTTTTACGGAGCCCCACTGACCTTATTCAAAAGCTCAACAAAATCCCTGTTATGGCCACAGTACTGCTAGACACCGGGGAAAAGAAAGATAAAAGATATTAGAGAGTGATAGATACAGGCAGTGGAGCAGCATCGGTCAGAAAAGATTTTTTTGCGTCTTCCTGAACTTGTGTGGTTGAAGCATTTCATTAATCACAACAAAACCAAAAATAAGAACAAGAGCCTCGAGCAACGATGATGATGATGATGATGATGATGATGATGATGATGATGATGATGATGATGA